CTCTGAGAGATTTACCTGACGAAGATCATCCACGTAAGCATGGATATGGACGAAGCCTTGGATTTCCGTTAGTAGGGAGTCCACTAGCAAACACCACAAGAGAGATAAGATCAACCCGCGCTGAGGGCGTCCTCTCTCAACCTCTGCCATGGTTAAGATGCTAGCCTCACCCCGCACAGTCAGCATTCTTCTAGATAACATGAACGGAATCCACCTTATGATAGTTTTGCCCACTCCACGTCCTCAGTTCGCAGAGCACATACAGTCAAAGCTTGCGTTCTCAAACCCGGGCTCCATGAGCCGTATGCATAAAAATTAAGCAATTGCATTTTCTTAAAATCCCATACCTTTCAATTAAATTTATTTGAACAAATCGAGTAATAGGTCGGAAATTTCTCGAAAAAGCATTTGCTTAGGTTTTATACATACGGCACAATATAGTAAAGACTCCCATTGTGTACTCACGTGGTAGATTCCTTGAAGTCCTAAAAGCTACTTCTTGCCACGAGCCGTGCGGTCATATTAAGTCTTTAAATAGGTTCATGCATAGCAATTTTTGCATCTAGAACTAACAGAATTTTTCCGGTTTACGTCGTGGCTGTCGTGGAAGTATTTCCATTTAGCCTGACGTTAATGTTACCAATGCAGAATGTAATAGCGTTTAGTGTCTTAGATCATAGCCATCTAACTTGAAGTCCAAACACAGCGGATGTTCACATGAATCGCCGCGCTTGAACTGCCATATCCTCTTAAGACTAATTGAAATCGAAATATATTATTTGTTGAAAGCTATTTTATGATTCCATTTTTTTTATTTAGTTTTATATTCAAGCGAAAATTTGCAGATTTTTGTTTTGTAAAAAAATAAAGACCAAAAAGATTTCATTTCAATATTGCAATTACATGTTGTCACACTTAACAATCATTGGTGGCGCAAATTCATTGTGACGTATGCCGAATGAGTATGCTTGTCCCGATTTGCCAGGACGGTAATACATTAGATCATAATAGTTTGGACCAGGACCAATTCGTTTAAAGGCGTACGGACTACGCCCGGAAATTGAGTACTCGGGGCTACGTGGTAGTTTTATGGAAAGATTTCCTGCACCATAAGCTGCAGGTCCTGGCGAAGCTGGTTTGCCAGATAAACGATACCGCACGCCCCTGTTTTTGCAAAGATAACCAACGAATGATGAATAAAGAGACGAAAGCGAAAATCTTGGGAGATTAAAAAAAATATATATATGCTACTTACATGCTGTATGCAGGAAATCCTGGTTTAATTGGTGACACATCCACGCCGTATGCATTGGGCCCGGGAGTGGAGCTCTTAAAGCTGTAAGCATTTCGCCAAGACATTGAGTAGGCTGGCGCATTGGTGCCCTTGAAAAATGGTTTTCGATGTACATCGTGTGCTCCCGGTCCTGGACCAATTTTCTTTTCTGCAATAAATAAAATTATGTGTGAGCAGGTGTGTCTCTTCAGAGATCGAATATTTACCTTTCACATATGTTCTACCCTGGATCGTAAATTCATTGCCACGGCTTACGCCGTAACGCGTCAATGTGTCCACATTATAGGCTCCCGGCCCTGGCCCGATTAGTTTCTGGTGCCTATATGCGCGCGTGCCCATTGAGAACTGCGGCAGACGCTGTTTACGGTTATCGTGATTTTCGTAGCCGACAGTGGGTGGCAGCATGTAAGCGCCGGGTCCGGGACCTAAGAACATCCAAGTGGTTTATTACTGATACGGGATCGTATTTGGAATTCCTCAAAACTTACCTAAAGGTCTTTTACTCATATTGCTGTTTTTGCAATATCAAAAGGAAATCGCAGGTAAAAATTTGGAATTTTGAAGTCAGGAAATGAGCGAAAATTTTTTGTTTGTTGTTTATTTGAGGTGTCGAAATTTGGTATTAAATATTTTGATATGACATGTTTTCAATAGCCGACGCTGGCATATAGGACATAAATAGAAATAGTGCAAGGTGAATTTAGTATAGATCACAGGTTGAAATTGCCAGTAAGGTTCCACTTTTCCTCTGCATACCTAGCTCAAAGAAATACCCTTTGGCAAGAATTATCCTCCGTTGGTTCTCATTGTTATTGTATGCTAGATAAATCTAAATTGCTTCAACTCCAAGTTCTAGATAGTCGCACTAGCCACACTGGGGGACCGACAAATGCAATAGTGTTGGGAGTATCAAGTACTTTTGAGAATCGAGTACTTTCTTTAAAAGTACATATCGTCGATGTTTTTGCCAAACCGCCTTCTTACGGCGAAGAATCGCCTTTTCTTTCAAGGCATTGCCTTGATAGGCGGTATATTCTCTAGCTATTATTTTGGAAATTTGTTGTTTTAAAAACGATTGTACGATTCCTATGCATAAATTTCGATGCCTGGAGTTCAAGGTTACCAAATCTCATTTTTGTCATAATGGCGATTTAGGCGGTTTTGCAACTGGTCGATGGGCGGTTTTGCAAAACATCGACGATATGTATGTATGTTAGTAATCTTTTAGTGCTTAGTGTAGAAATCTCACTAGCTGGCAGGACTTTATTCAAATTAATACATTAATCCCAAATAACGTCGATTGAATGCTACTTTGGAGTACGCAGGATCGATTCTTTTAAAATTTGGTTTCGATCGATCCTTTGGAGAATCGAGTGTTGAGTAATTTTGGTATCGATACTGCCCAACACTAAAATGCATGTATAATGACACCCCGGAAAGAACCTTAGTGACAATATTGAGTGCGAGACCTGCTACTATGGACGTTAGTGGTTTGGTTCTTCTTAATATTTGGCACTGATAGAACTGAAAACTTTGAAAATTTCTTCTTTCGTTTACGAAGTTACGCAGGATTTTCACATAAAATGTAAACAGGTCCTCCTGCATTTGTTCTTCCATTGTGTTATTGTCCACCCATGGAAGCCGAGTCAAATGATCTTTTCTCTGGAGCACCTTCATCCATCCGTACGGCATTTACAAGTCAGCGCTATCTTTGTATTGTTATTCGCTTAACTAAGTCCATGTCATTATAAAGCTCAAAGAGTTCATGATTTAATCTACAACGCCACATTTAAGAAATCACACGACAGAGAGTCACCCTGTCTGAAATCTCAAACGGCTCGAACGGCACAACGCTGAAAGTAGATTGCCTCCAAACCAAATTTGAAAAAGGATAACAGCAACTTCTTTTCGAAGTTGTGGATTTGAAATCGACAAATATTAGTACATATCGGCAGCTGAGTGGAAGATGGCAGTTCTTAAACTATTTGCTGAGATACGACGTTTTCGAACCGACAGCCGAGATTAGACAATAACATGGTGTTTGTCGAACCGCTTCTTGCGGGTCTTTTCCAAGATGTGGCATATGATGATTGCTTGGTTTATGACGGATTTAACAATTATAAAGTCCTATCAGTTGGTTGACGGTGCGCTATAGCCTTTAACATACTTAATACGTTTAATAAGACCTTACAGCTGATGCTCAGGTAACTGATGTCGCCATAGTGGACGAAAATGGCCGAACCGGCAGTCATGCTGTCGCCCGACCATATTCTGATTATATGTATGTAGGTTTGTTCGCCAGCTTTACGCCGCCATATTTGAATAGTTTAGCTGTTAGTTTTCGAATCTCATCGTGGTCATAGAGCTGATATCGATTCCGTCATCATCGATTGGGGGTTCGGGTGCATATTATCCTAAATTTTCGCTATTGCTGCTATTCAGGAGCGTCAGAAAAGTGTTCCTTCACAATCTGACAATCTGGACATCTTTCACCAGGTGTCAATTCTTATTTTTCCAGAAGATTGCCCGGCCTTAAAGCTCGCCGAATATTCAGAAAAGCTTAAAAGCAATTACTTTTTTGGCGGCGGTTCGTAGGGAAGGATAAATTTGGGTTAATTGCTCGCAGGGTCGTTATGTTGATTAGTGCTCTCTGAGAGTCAAAGTAAGTGCTGAGTGGCGAATTTGTCGGTTATCTGTTGCGGTCGCACATTTTCAACGTGAAGCTTTCAAGTCGAGGTTTGGGCCTCGGATCGTACGTATATCTAACACTGAAAACGTGTCATCTGTTGATCGAAATATAGGCGATTTAGTTTTTCGATTCGGTATCAACCACGTTATTACAAATGGGTGTTTCCAGCGGAAGGTCCATCACGACAAAAAAAAATAAAAGTTTTATATCTAACGTATTTACGGGCCGATTTGTCTGCTTTTTAAAATATATACTGGCTATGAAAGTAGAATCATGTTTGCATTAAATGGTCTTCCTAGGTGGTGCCAAGGTCGAGATCTTTCGAAAAACCGTATTTATGGTCCGATTTGGTTCGAATTTGGCGTATGTGGTTGAAACATAATAAATCATAGATTTCTACTAATTTGACCCTGAATTGGCGCTGAAGTCAAAATATAAAGTATATTCTACATAAAATACATGTTTTATTTGCGTTGAAAATTCATTTAAAAGCAATATTAACAAATATATAACGATGGAAATTTATGTCACGTGACGCCAGTCACGTCACGTTTCACACTTGGGGTTGCAAAAGAGAACTGAAACAATTTGCATTAATTCAAAAACTCTAAAAACAACTAGAATTGATCCAAATCATATTAAAATAAGTTTCATCAAAATAGCCATCCACAATTCGCAGAGTTTTGCGATTTTGTAAGAAAAGAAAAAATCAACTTCCATTTTTTGTCACGTAACGACACTCTCTTTAAATGCTTGTATTTCAGGACCAAGCAGTTCGATTGATTTTAGTTTTCGGTTAAATATAGAGCTAATTATGTGCTATACAATGGCCCAAAAAAGTTAAAGAAAACAAATGGTATTCCTTTTTTGTATCACATTGAAATCGTACGACTGTCACGTGCGCCACCATGGGAATGCCCATATAAGACAAAAATGTGAAATGTGTGTTATGTACTCTTGATTGTAATAGAAACATATCTTCGATTCGTTTAAACTAGACCAAACATGTTATTTATAATTATTTGGGTACAGTCGATAAATACAATAAGAGTGTATGCATATTACAACAACTTAACTGACGTAAAACTATTTACAATATTTCTTAGTTTCTAGTTTTAAGTTGATGGCAAAGCTCGCCGGAATTTCCACCGATGCAAACGATCTTCTGTTAATCGAACAATTGCTAGTTTTTACTCTATGTCAATAGAGTTGTAGAGTTGCTTATACTGGGTGCTATGGCCACTGTTTCTGAGCAATAACTCATTGTGCTTTTCGCGTATGGTCTATCAATTTAATTTAAATTTATTTATTTTTGGACTAAAGTTTTAGATTAAAAAAATTATCAATTTACCTTGGGATTATACTTTTGATGCAGTAATACCAATACGGGTCCGTAACATATGTTTAAGAAACCAACAATGCGCATTAACCAAGAGAAACCAAATGCTTGCGCCAACTCGCCACCCAGTAAAGGAGCTAAGGAAATATTAGGTGGGAATAGCCAAAGTATACTTGTATACATATGTATTTGTACGTATAAAACAACCCTGCAAACCAAAGATCCCGAAATCTTAAGGAAATCGTTAGGAGTATCTCATTTCTGTAACGANCCGCATTAACCAAGAGAAACCAAATGCTTGCGCCAACTCGCCACCCAGTAAAGGAGCTAAGGAAATATTAGGTGGGAATAGCCAAAGAATACTTGTATACATATGTATTTGTACGTATAAAACAACCCTGCAAACCAAAGATCCCGAAATCTTAAGGAAATCGTTAGGAGTATCTCATTTCTGTAACGATTTTTTAACGAATCTTCAAAGAAAATTTTATGAAGTGGTTGACACGAACTCGTTAAAAAATTTCTGTACGAAAAATAAAGTAAATTCTAAAAAAATCTTTCACATCGGATTTCTTGTGAAATTTCGTAAAAGAATCGGGGTGTGCACAGTTTATTTCATTTAGAAATTTTCTGCAAAAAATCTACAATTGAGAATACTCTGGAAAAATGGTTTGCAGGGAATGTACGTACATATGATCAAATTACTTACCTAAGCAATAGGCTAAACTAACAGATGTCTGTTGTATGGCATAAACTGTGCCATAGCTGGACATGGAGTTGCCGCCGCCAATGCCATCGCTTTCGCATTGTTCCTCCTGCGCTAAGGTGGCATCAACAAAACTAGCCAGTAGCGGCACCAACGCTGCATCAATAACTCCAATACTCAAACCCAAACCGAAATGGGGCAAAAGCAATTGGCTGACTGTGGTGGCGCTTGGAATCTACAGAATTAGGAAGATTTTGAAAGCATGTACATATGTACATTAATGCGTATCACGAAATAAAATTTAGCTTGTGTGAGTTTTATTTAAATACTTTGTCGAGAAAAATGTTGGGTGTAAACATTTTTTTATGCACCCGCTAAAAACTGCTAAATCGCGCTTTTTGCTATAATTTTCATAATTGCTACCCGTTTTTTTTTTTTAATTTTTATGTCACCGAAAAGGCCTCGCTATGGACTATAATTGAATAAAGCCTAGCCGTTTATAGCAATGACTTCATGGTTTTTTTTCGAGCTGTAGCTTTATAGTATAAAAATAAAAATCTAGGGATAGTAATTCCAAAATNATATGGACTATAATTGAATAAAGCCTAGCCGTTTATAGCAATGACTTCATGGTTTTTTTTCGAGGTGTAGCTTTATAGTATAAAAATAAAAATCTAGGGATAGTAATTCCAAAATTAGCGAAGGTATAAATAAAAAAAATTTAAGGCTTAAACTGGTTGATGGCCAATTGTAGTACTGAGCGAGGCCTTTCAGCGACACAAAGATTTAAAAAATCGGATCTAAAATAAGAAAATTACAGCGATTTAGCGGTTTTCAGCGGCTGCCTGAAAAATTTTTTAGCGGGTACATAAAAAATTCATCGAAATAGAATTACATGCAAAAGGGTTTCATTAAAATTTATGATTTAAATTTTTTTTAATTATTTAAGAAAACGTTTTGCATGTATTTTGTCTTAAGGGCTCATAACTTCTAGATTTATTATTCAATTTAGACCATACGGGGTTTTATTCTATTAATAGAAGATTATAAGTTGACCTCCAAGAAAGAAACTTGAGGAAATAGGATTTCCTCATGTGGATGTTTGTACCGAAAGTAAATTTTTTTAGAAATTGTGTTGAAAATTATGCAAACTATATCGATTAATCCTAAATTACTAATATGGGTTGAAAATGACAAACATATATGATATCAAATTTAATTAGCTTCATTAATATAAAAATATCACAAAACAATTGCAAGTAAGTGAGGGCACTTTTTTCAGATCTCAAAAACAGATATTTGGCTAGCAGGTATGTTCGGCAACCCACTTCCCAGCTAATTTCAACCCCATTCAATTTGAATTCAAAGCGACTTTAATTGAAATTCACTCAGAAGTGAATTGCAGAACCTGCCTATACGGGTATGTATTTTTCAAAAACTGTTCTACTTTCTTATATTCCGATTTCGTATTAGAATGCAACGCAAAATTGTACATTATAATTCATACCAAAATGTCGCAGGCCGATTTTTTTTCTACATATAAACTTGTGTTATTTACTACTCACCAAAAACGCTGAAACTCCGACAAGTAATAATGCAATGCAGGAAATTTTCACTTGCCCATATTTGTATGCAAATGTGCCAAAGAAATTGGTGCCAATAAAATAGCCAACAGAATCTGGTATAAAAACTGTACCCAATTGCCATTTGGTGGGATGAAGGTTCTGTATTAGCCAAATGGGTAAACACGGTTCCAATATAGCCATTGTGGAGGTTGAAAACCATATAGCAACAACAATTGCGAGTATCATTTTGCTTTCGAGTAACGGACGCCATTTGGGTTGCTCCTCATCTGGGTCTGTTGTAACCTAAGGTATGTGTAAGAGTGTGTAAGCAGAACTAAGTATGTATGTATGTGTGTAATTTCCAAACGATTACTTTCAAAAAAGTCACATTCTGGAATATATTTTCCAAAAAATGCAAAAAATTAATGTTTGAAGAGTCTGAAAGCAGTTTCGTATTCTTACAAAAAAAGTATAAATAATACCAGCCATTTACACTTTGTTTGGAAATTACCCATGTAAGTATGTATGCACATATATATGTATGTATGTAAAACTCTTCATAACTCTAACTCTAAAATTTATTGTAGCCTTGCAGATTGAATACATGTTAATCTTTTATTGTTCACTATACTTAGTCGAAACTTTTGTATAGCCTTAATTCTTTCAAGTGTGAACAATGCTGTTCTATGTGTTAAGGGCGAAACTATGCTAGGCATAGCAAGTATCAAGTCCATATAGTTTTGAAGTTTTCCCTTGAAATGTTTACGACTTACCTCAGGCTGTATGGACAGATCCATTGTCAAAAGCTGCATTCCTTATGTGTCAAACGTTAAAAAGAAAAAAGGATGTATACAGGAAAAACTTAAGAAAATATTTATCAAGGGCCTGAAAATGTTGAACTATAAAGCATAGTGACATGTTTCACATAATGCAAGTTCCAGTTCACTGCCAGAAGCGATTACATACAGATAACAGATCAATTAAGCGCCATATACCATGTTCTGACCGACATCGAAAACATGTTTTCGTTGCTAAAACTAGTTTTCGACCTAAAACATGTGTTTTCGTCCATGTAAAATCTGTCAAACGAAAACCAGTTTTCGCTGAAAACTACTTGAAAACTCACGTTCCACTCGTTCCAATCGGTGTCTTCACTCGGTTTTTTTTCGATTCTTTATCGAAGTGGAAGTCATATTTTATCATCTTTAATACGCTATTTCGTATTTATTGTTAATTGGCTGGCCAAAGTAAATAAGAATGAAAGTAAGAGGTTGCTAATGAAAAGAAAATGTGGGAAAAGCATTTTGGTTTTGTTTTTGTGTAGCAAAACTGCAATGAGAGGATGTAAGAGATGTCAGCGAAAACACTAACAGCCGATGTGAACAGCCTTCAGTCTACAATTCCAAAACTCTTTTTCAAAGTGTTTTCGTTGTCGGTCAGAACATGGTATTAGGTAATAAGTGACTCAAAACGTTTTACAGTATCACCGACGATATACATATTAGAGCGGGTCGAAAATTTAATTTTTATCAAATCCCTTGATAGTAGTGAAAATATATTGTATCATGAAGTCAACAACAAGCCTGCAAAATATTAGTGTTTTATTTTAGTTGTAAGAGCCCGCGCATCGACCGCCAAGTGACCCACAGCACCCTAGTCAAATAAGATCAATTCTTGTTAAAAATGCTGGGTTCAGCAAAATGTTTTGTTGCATATTATTAGATAATGAATTCGTTTACCCAAAATAAAAAGTCAAATTTCATTTCTCGCAGCCCTTTAGCTTATCGTTAATCTCAAAGTTAACTGTTTTCAATAATATATGAATTGTTCCCTTGATAACTGCACTGGCCTAGAGTCAAAAGATGTAAAGAACAGCATTAATATTGCTGGCGTGCATTTAGATCGCTGGTTCCAAATATTTTAATCTTTTTTTAACATTAGCTATAATTTGCGATTTTTTGCAAATTTAGGGACAATTTCGGTAACTCTAATAGAAAAGCCATTATTTTCCATCATCGTGGAAAAATTTGGTTTATGCAAATGAGTATGAGAACACTGAATAGGCACAACTTCTAGAAACACAACAAATGTTTAGGCATACAATATAAAAATTGCAAATATAAGAAAATGACAATGATTTTGTTCAAAATTTCTTTTATTTTAAAATAATTTGTTTATAATCTGAACGATTTTAATCAAATTATTACCAAAAATCAGTAACATTAAGTATCGTCTTCAATTTGGTGATTATTGCGCACCGATCGAGTAGCATTTACCAAAGTTATATTGAAAAATTTAAGTGGATCTCCAGTTTTTTATAAAAAAATTTCTCTTCAATTGTATAAATAACTTTTAGATGATAGAACCGGATTACAGAAAAGTGTGCCAGGGAGTGAATTTTTTCGTTCAAGCTAAATGCAAAGCAATATCGTCCAATTGGAGAGTCCTCAAAAGGATTTCCCAGGATATGTTAAAGACTATTGCATTTACCTACAGTCAATTTTCACATAATGGAATTAACTAAAATATTTATGTATATCTAAAAACTTATTGCACATCCCCTACTTTCATATAACGGCAGATTTAGAAACCGCGAAAAATTTTCAAGACTGCATAAATGGACTTAAAACTTCTCACCCTAATGGTATTATGTTAATGTATGTAAATACTTATATGCTGGAAACTACTATTAACTTATCAAACGATTCCTAATCTTTCAAAATACATGTTTGACCTCATTCACCACGATCTTGAAAACTGACCAAATCTAAATATAAACATTCGAAAACATTACAACGTTTGAAATAAATCTCGTTTCACTTTTTTGAATTTTTCACTTGGTTGCTGAAGTAATGAAGAATTGAAAATTCATAAGGGAAATTAAAGTTTTTGTAAGTTTTATCTTAATATCGTAAAAACTTGTAAACTTATTGAAAAAGGAACAGTCCAGCGCCTTCGTCTTGGTCTGCAGGCTGTATCGGAGATACAGCCGCTATATTTAAACGTAGAATACGTGGTATGGTTAAGAGCATATCCAAGTCAAAAACGAAATCACACACTAAGAAAAAAAGGG